CTCACTCACTCACTCACTCACTCACTCACTCACTCACCGTCACCACGATCACCTCTGTGGACCCCAATCCGTCTAGATTTCTAGACTTTCTTCTTATAGACCTCACTGTTTGGGGTCTCTTGCCGGGATAATATCTTTCTTGAAGGAAAAAGTATCCACCTTGAACCGACCGGCTGACATGCGCCCTAATCTTGGCCGAGAGGCGCTGCCGGAGCGCGGGCCGGCTCCACCCCCCCAAGCTCCACGTTGAACATAACCTCCTCCGCCAGCGGCTCCGCCACCAGCTCCACCTGTGAACGCAAACAGCTGGGCCCTCTTTGGACAACTAGGGAGTCCAGCCCTGACGTTTACGATCTAAACATGTTCACCCGCTCCCAGGTAGGGGCAACAACACCTGGCCCTCGGGCACATCATGGCTTCTTGCTGCACCGCGTGCCTTCAAGCTGAACATTCTTTGCACATGGTTTGCCCTGGCACGCGCCAGGCTGAGTTTCGCAGAGTTGCTGTACTCTTTGAGTTTCCTCGACTGAAATGAAAACCAATGAAGGAGCCTAAGATAGAAATGAAAAACAGCAGGTAAAGGCCGGTCTTTGAGCCTTCTTTGGATCAATTTCCAGATCGAAGCTGACCTAGGTAGGGATGCAGCCTTTGCAACCAAAGCTCAAACATAGCTCCTCACACACTGCTCAGCACCCCACTCTGTCTCCCTGTCGCAGCACACTGCTGCCACCTCTTTGGCACTCTCGAGGTAAGCTGGTAAAGTGAACAAAAATGTCCTGAGGACGCCAGCGAGCAGAAAGGAAGAATGTATAAAATACTATAAAGTGATATTATGGCGACAACTGTTCTGGAAGTTCGACATCTCATCGATTCCCATTCTCATCTCAAGTCGTCCGACTCTAGGTCCTCATTTCCACGTTCCGGTTTGATGAATCCAAAGCCTTTCTCCTCATCAAACTTCAGGACTGCGCCTGTCACGATTTCGTTCGTTTTACCGTATTTACCTCTTCCCATGGCTATCCTACTAGGAGCAAAGGGCATCGCTACTAGGAGCGATCGGACGCTACTAGTAGCTAGGGCATTTCTACTAGTAGCAAGAAGCTACTAGGTTGGAGGCCATCGCCATTTGTCGGCTGCGATGTTCACAATGAGTGCGTTCATCCGGCCTTTCAAACGTCCGCCTTCATCGCGGTAGCCACTTCCGCCTCCGCCTCTCCCACCTAGTAGCGATGCCAGGAGCCCCTAGTAGCATCCACTTACAACTGGCAAAAATACTAGCTTGTGTCCTGCATGTGAATTTGGTTTCTTTGGGACCTTTCTTCATCGGCCCTTCTTTCTTCCTGATCTTCCAGATGACTTGCTAAGATCTCTGGTTGTTGAATGATTCAGTTGGAAAGACGTCACAAGCCCACCTCCTTTGTCTCCCCAGTCATTTTGACGACGACTGCGGCTTCTGTCGCGACCTCCCGACGGAAATTGAAATGCAATTTCAACAATGCACCATATCATGCGGTGCTCCCCCCCAAAAAAACGGAATAATTAAAGTGTCTGGCATCTCTCGCATCACCCTTTTGAAATTGTGTCACATCATTTTCACATCCTTCGCTCGCGATCACCGTGCGATCACTGCCTCGCGGCGGTGTGCGGCTGCGGTCCCGGCGCTCGGGGCGTGGAGGTGGCGTCCGCTCACCTAAGAGATGGCCACACCAGGCGGTACGGCCAGCGTCCTTGCTCCTAGTAAGGCCAGCCCCTAGTAGCAGCAATGGGCCAAAAAATTGTCAACAAACGCCCTTTAGTGAGTGACATGCTTTTTTTCGGAAACGGAAAGGCGCCCGTTCGGCATGTCCTGAGTCAACCAATTGTTCCCCCAGTTGCGACGTGGTGGGCTCGTTCTCTCGCGTCTCCTACTCCGCGGGCGGCTCCCGGAAGTGTCCTGGCGAGTGAAAAACAGCTGCAGGACTGCTCCGAGAAGAAGACAAGTGTTCGGACCGGAAAAACAGGCCCGACTCAAAGAGCCCAAGTCCTAAAAAAACAACACAACATGCATATCTGTGCAAATAGCCACTGGTAGCTTCTTGTTACTAGTTAGCGATGGCCTCCACCCTAGCGATGGCCTCCGACCTAGTAGCTTCTTGCTACTGCTAACAGACTAACAAACCAAACACGACATATCTGTCCTCCAATCGCACACAGTCAATTGGCTTTCCCGCAATTGGGCACTTGTGGAAGGTACTGATGACCTTCAGGGGGGTAGCGTTGGGAAGTGCTTCAACCGTAGCGTCCTCGTTCCTAGTAGCGATGCCAGGAGCCCCTAGTAGCGTCCTTGTTCCTAGTCGTGGTGCCCTTTGGTCCTAGTAGCGTCCTTGTCGTTCGAAAGTTGGTTTCCTGCGCCGGCCTGGTCTGCCAATTGGTGCCCCGAGACTTTCACAATGGCACTGACGCTAAACTGGACAGAGTCGAAGTGAAGACCCTGCCACAAGGCGCCAAATCACCAAGACCGATATAGACCAAACTTAATAGCCATGGCCTCCACCCTAACCTAGAAGCAACGGCCTCCAACCCTCGTTTCTTGGTCACAAGCCTTGCCCTGGAACAAACTGCGAAGTGCCGGTTCCTCAGTTTCAGGGTGGCTGTTACAAATGGCTCCTCAATTGGTCTGGCAAGGGGCAGTGAAGTTTCGGCTGCTTCATGACACACTCTGGTATGGACCGGCGCTACTCAAAGGATTACCTTGCAATTGAACTGAGGACTTGATGCGCCTCCTTCATGAATCACTTGGTCATGGTGCACACTGACACTTACACATACAATCACGCTTGGACGAATTCAATCACATGCCCAAATCCACCAGGACCAAGCCCCTCACTGATGCATCCATGGGCAAACCCTTCAGCTCCAGTTCAACAGGGTCCGGCAACGGAACGCCTCGGCCTTGGCGGCGACTCAAAAAGGATCTAGCAATGGCAAGAAGCTACTAAGGGGCTCCTGGCACTAGGAACAAGGGCCTTACTACTAGGAACAAGAAGCTAGTAGAAACAATAAGAATATATGTATAGTTAAATTAAACTAAATTAGAATTGAAGCTCATGATTATTCGACCAAAGGGAATCTTCTTGTGAGTCACTAACCGCAATGGCCTCCAACCTCCTAGCGATGGCCTCCACCCTACTAGCGACGGCCTAGCAGCAACGGTTTCCAACCTAACAGTAATGGCCTCCAACCTAAAGCATCTCGCGGTTCAGCTGAAAACTGTTTAGATCAACTCACATGTCAATCTTGGCACGGGTTGGCACTGGGCAGTTGGCCATAACCATCAAAACCTTTTCCTCCTTCTCTTCCTTCTCTTCGACCTCTGTCACCCCGATCATAATCTCGACCTTTGTCGTGACCTCGGTCGTGACCACTGTCACCACCGCTTCTAGGTTGGAGGCCATGCAAAATACACCGGCATAAAGAAGAACAACTCATAGTGGTGAGGGAAACAACACGTGATCTTGCACAACATGACTCAACATGACTCATGACAGCACGTCACCGGCATGACATGATGTCATCCCTGGCCATCCCTGGCATATACACCAAGCAGCACCCGCACCCACACCTGCACCCGCCCCAAACAAAACACCGATCCAGCACCAGCACAGACAGCACGAAACGCCATCTGACAAAAGTGTGCATTTCCTATCTGGTGAGGAAAAAAAAAAGGACGAAAAAAAAACAAATAAAACACAAAGCTTTTCCCGTCGCCCCGGCCTGCCCTGCCATCTCGACGACCGTCATCCCTTCTGCGTTCGTCACGACTTTCACGACCGTCACGACTCCGCTGTCGGCCGTCTCGAGCATCTCGACCTTTGCCATCGAAGCCAAAACCAGGTGCACGAGGTGGTGCACCATATCCACCATAGATCTCATAGGTGCCATAGCCTGGTGCACCTCCTTGTGGTGGAGGAGGTGGTGCTCCTGGAGCTCCTTTTCCTTCATATCCTCCAGCAGGTCCATAATTCCCATAACCCGGAGGGGGAGGATATCCCGCAGGATAACCAGGATAGCTACCAGGAGGGTAGCCATAGGTGCTGTCAGGAGGTGGGTAGTAGCCACCGTTGCCACCAAAACCTGCCCCTTCGTAGCCATAGGCTACTACGTTTTTTTCAGCAACATCCTTTCCACCTCAGACCGTCGAAGTGATCAACATGTGATCAAATTTCAGTTGTTACTAGTAGCTTCTGGTTGCTAGTAGTAAGAATACTACTAGTAGTAATGCCCTTTGTTACTAGTAGCGGTGCCCTTGTTACTAGTATATGGTTTCGTGAAACTAGTAGAAATGCCAGGAGCTACTAGTAGCGTCCTTGCTCCTAGTAGCGGTGCCCTTTGTTCCGAGTAGCTTCTCAATCAATTTCTTTTTAGTCCCCCTTACTGAATGCAGTAGGAGCTGACTGAACTAAGTAACTAAGTGAGGGAGTAAGCTGCTAGAAATAGGAAACTCCTAGCTAGGACGCAGGACAGCTTCCTTGAAGAAGCGCTCGGAGGAAACTTAACAAGTCGAATTTCTAACGACACTAAGGCTTACTGCTAGGACTTCTGCACATCATCCCGGCAAAATTGAGTTTGGCACCGGGTGGAGGAGGAGGAGGTGGCTGTGGAGGTAGCGCTTCCATCAGCTTGCACTATGTCACTATGTCACTATGCCCACAGAATTCGTAAAAAAGAATGTCCGTTTGCAAATCCTGACAAGCAACACTGAATGTGCACCTGACGGAAACACCACATTCAGTAGGGAGGCCATCGTTACGTTGGAAACCTACGGTTTCATTACTTAGCTTGGCAGCTAGGCTATGATGGCTATGTTCCTTTCTACGAAAGACAGCCATCTGCGGGGTTCCCTTCGCCACCACATCTGCGGCGCTCCGGTTTTCGTTTCTGAGACCACAAGGCCGCGGCGTGAGTTCTGAAGCGAAGCCAAAACATCAAACAAACACAAGCAAAAACGTAATCAATCCTTACTAGTAGGAACAAGTGCATCGCTTCTAGTAACAAGTGCCTTACTAGTAGTAACAAAAAGCTATATAGTAGAAATTCATTACTCAATCAATCCTTCAATGAAAAGGAACTAAAACAACTCCAAACTCCACAGTGTCGCTAGACCAACGCAAGGACACATGCAAAAGATCGTCTTGCCCAAGCACTTGAGATTGGTCTTTTCGGACTGTCCTGTGCGCCGCTCCCGCTAAAGCTGGAAGACGGTACCCGGAAAACTAACGAATTGCAAAACCAAACATGTGTGAGGTTCACGTGCACTTGGTCTTTGAACCAAACTCGGGTTCCGAAACTGTGTGCACGGAATCGGGAACCTGACGGATTCGACAACGATTCGCCGATTCGAGCTGGTGGTAGTGCCGGGTGTGGTGACCGCAGAATACGAGGTGAAAATGGAAAAGGTATGCATGAAGAATGATCGTAGATGATCGTAGCTGTCTCGTGACGGACGGTGCGAAAGTGAAAGTGAACCTGTGTGCCAAATGTTTGGGCAGCCCATTGAGGCACAAATAAACCTAATCTTATTAATGTAAGGTCATCGCCATCGCAAACACAATTCAACAAGTGTTCCGTCATGACTGGCCCAAAAATGTTTGTCCAACGCAGCGTCACGCCACGAACCAAGAGTTGCACAACGGAAATATGCTTGCAGTCTGTCATTCGCTGTCGAGGTCTGCCCACCCTATAGGCCCCACGGTGTTCATCGATGTTCCAGTTCAGACGCTTGGCCCAACGATCCACCAATAGTAGCGTCCTTGTTCCTACAGTATATGCGCCGAAGCGCATACATTGCTCGCACCACAGATGTGCCAAAACTTTGATACCGGCTGTTTGCATGCATATGTCCGCTCGCAAGTTCCATTCATGAAGGGTAGTGTCCCATTGGGACAACAATGCGCCGTACCAGTTTACGACATTCAACCGAAATTGTTTGCAAATGCTGCTTTTGGATAGTTCGATGAGGACTGCCATAACTAGCGACTGAACCAACAACAGTTTGTAACATACGAAGCTGAATTGAAATAGACACTTGCCGATTGCGCAGTATCCAACGGCTTGCATGAAAAGCCTTCGATACTTGGACAAAATGGTATCGCACATCAACATGAATGGCAGATCCCTGCGCAATGAGTATGCAACCCACATTTGTGAGCAGCATCCCTTCCTAAAACTTTGAAGGAGAAACCTTTCCGCGCACATGGGACTGGAGGTGGTTGAGTATTTCAGCAATCAAAACAACAGTTTTCACTTCCTTCCAAGAAAGACCCACGTCCGCGAGATAATCTGTGTATCTATATGCGTTGATGCTTGGGAACTGCACTCGGCTAAAAGCAGGATGTCGTCCGCACGCAGGTAGCCCATCCTTCATATCCAAACCTGCATGTCCAATGTTGACCCTCCATTTTTGCATTGCCGAGGACGCTACTAGGAGCAAAGGGCATTGCTACTAAGTACTAGGAGCAAGGACGCTACTAGTAACAAAGGGCATTACTAGTAGTAGCATTCTTATTAGTAATAACTATAACATGTTGAGCCTCCATTTTCGCAGTGCTAGCTGCAAAACCGAACAGAAAGGTCTGGGGCTCAAGACGCGTCCTTGTCGCACGCCGGATTGGTTATGATGCAAAACATGAAAAATATCAAATCAAATGGTCGGACCCGCCGTCACACGCCAAAGCTTCCCACAAAACATTCCACTTGACTGTACTGCAGGCAAAAGCATGTTTGCAGTTAACAACTTGTGTTTGCCAATCAGTGAAAGATGCACTCATGAGTTACCACGCACTATCGAGAAGTGTACCTTGCAGGCCGCCATTTCCAGATCAGAAAAGGATCCGCATGGTAGCGGAGCCGGTGAACCCTGCAACAGCACTAAAAGGAAGGCTCCAGGGACTGGACCCGATCCCGTTGGTGGCCTCGCCCACACCGGTGCCATAGGAGATCCTGCATGATTCTGCACCTTTCGCAATCAGCGCCAGAGTTTGTTTTGAAGTACCAGATTGTCCCTTTTCTTTGCCCGTGATCCCTACACCCACTTGAGGGTCATCGCTTTCGAGTTCAAGCAGCATGGCCAGACTTGGAGTTGAAGGCTCACCACCAGGTGGGTCTCCTACAGGGAGTGCTGGAGGTGGAGCAATCGATGGAGCAAAGCTTGCTTTGCAAGCAGCAGAAGCAGCTGGAGTTGCAGCCAAGGCGGCAGCAAAGGTTATGGCCAAGAAGCCGGAAAACCTCCCAACTTCGACCGAAGTCCAGGGACGAGGAATTGGCTCAGTGGCGAGATTTTTCATGGAGCTTGGAACACTATTTGCCATCGGTGGACGCCACCGATGCTGATGACATCAAGGAGATCAGAGCCAATCTTGCCAGGGAGATGAGGGTTGACCTCCAGTCTGATGAAGAACGACATCGAAGCAGCTTTCTATATGCCCTCCTTGCATCACTCCTGAAATACAGGCCTCTCTCGGTGATCAAGCAGGTGAAGGAGTCCAATGGCCTAGAAGCATACAGATTGCTAATTCAAAGCCTCGAACCAACGAGCAAGAACAGGTCGCTTGGATTGTTGACCATCCTTGAATGGGGGCAGTTCGACATGAAGAAGGCCTATGCTGAGTGCGAGAAAACAGGAGCTAAACTGGATGACACCAACAAATTTGCAACGTTGACGAGATGCGTCACCGGGCAACTCAAAACATGGTTTCAGCTACACATTGCTGACACCCAGGACTACACTCGATTGAGGGAAGCCATCATCCAGTATGACAATGCCACCATCAAATGGAGCAATGCCATGATTCTTGGACAAGATCCCAATGGTTTGGCTCCCATAGAGGTAGACCAGATTACAGATGCCGAGGGAAACAAGTCCAAGGGCAAGAGCAAAGATGGCGGTGGAGGTTGAAAGGGCAAAGGCAAAGGAGATAAAAAAAAGCACCATGGGCAAGGGCAAGAATTCGAGCAAGGGCCAAGATGGTGGGAAGTCAGGCCAGAAGAGTCAGAAGGGAGATGAAAGGGCAAGAGGAAGGACGCCCCAGTGAAGACTTGCTTCACATGTGGGGAGCCAGGCCATTTAGCAAGGGATTGCTGGCGAGTGGCGAGGCAAGTGGAAGCGAATCGACAGTGACCCAGGCTGACACCCACAAGATATTTCACAGGAATTCAGTCAGTTGACAATTTTTGCTTTTAGGTCGGTGAGCAAAGAGGATGATCAGGATTATCAAGTTCTTCCAGGACCCGCGACGAAAAGAAGGAGATTCGCTGAGGCAGCCCTTAGTAGTTTCTAATGGTAAGGCCAGGATTCTGGCGCTGATGCCACAGTCCTTCCAGCATCGTTTCGTGGAGCAGGAAGCGAGCTCAGTGAGGTAGCACCGCGAACGCAGGGTGCTGGGGGTACAAGAAACGTTTGCTTTTGTTTCAGGCAGGGCAAAGCAGAGAGATCCAAATCCACAAGAAAACCCATTTTGCTGAGGGCATCAGTCAGCCAAAATGATGCAAACTGGTTGGGGGATTAGCTGATTAGCGCACAAGATCAGGTCTTGACTTTTGGGGGAGGACCCCAACAGATCCGGACACTTTTGAAACTACAGAATCGAAGCCTCATCGCTGAAGGATTTGCACAAGCAATCCACACTGCATGGCCCACGTCTTGGAAGCCAAGCTGATGAAGGAGCTTGAGGATTTCCAGACACCTCAATATCATGGAGCTATTGACAGCTATTGCGGCCACAGCTGACCAAAGTTCAAGGTCGCAACTTGTGGAGTTTTGTGAGGCACGGACTCACACAGCAGGAGATTGATGAAACCAAAGATGGAAATGTTTTGACCTTGACTATCCTGACAAGGGAGACGCTCACCACCGATGAGATGGGATTCGAAGTTGACACAGGGATGGACTTGATAGCTCAGGCAATTGAGAGGAGAGATGTGGAACTGCCAGTTGATCCTGGCAGAGATGACTCAGGGGCACACGACGAGCCTGTGTTGAGAGCAGCGTGCAGCTTCTATGGCACTAGCACTTCAGAAAGCAAACTGAAACGCTATCAACGTTTGGTGCATCAAGGAGTTGGAGTTGAAAGCAGCGGCATCGGCACTTGCAGCAGTTCAGATGGATGTAGCAAGACGGCCATTGGTGAAGGTTCCTTCAGAGAGCGAGCAACTTCTCCATGAACTCACGCACGCTCCTTACCAGCCATGGTGCGAGACCTGCTTGATGCACAGGGGTCGACCAAACAGACACCTACGAACTGGAGCAGCTCGACTTTCAGGCATTCAGCAACAGGGCGATCATCAAGGAGAAGATCTACCTGGAGGAGCAGCCATGAGATTCCAAGAAGTCAAATCAAGACTGCTTTGTGGTTTGCCCTCTCACGCAGCCAAACAGGAGCACTAGCGCAGCTCCCTTCCAGCCCAAGGGGCAATTGAGCCTCATGTGCAGGGAGGCCATGACATGTGGAGTCGTTGGTGAAAAGAGTGGGCCTACGGCTCAACGGCAGCCACACGGCACTCAGCAACTCTGAAGTTTCAAGCGTCCTTGCTCCTAGCAGCATCTTTGCTATCTTTTTCCCTCGCGCCTTTTTCTTTGCAGGGTCAACTGCGCGGGCCAAGGCGGCTAGGCTGGGCGCCCGGAGCAGGGAGGAAGCAAAGTCGCTGAGGAGAGGGAGGCGAGGAAGGCGCGTTGGGCCG